GCAAGCCTCTCGAGGGCCATACGGACTGGGTCACATGTGTCGCAATCTCGTATGATGGCAGGCGAATTGTGTCGGCTTCGTTAGACAAGACTATCCGAGTGTGGGATGCGGACACTGCACAGCAACTGGGAAATCCTCTTGAGGGCCACACGGACCGGGTCAGATCTGTCGCAACTTCGCATGACGGGCAGCGAATTGTGTCTGGTTCAGATGATAAGACCATCCGAGTGTGGAATGCAGACACAGCGCAACAGCTGGGCGAGCCTCTCGAGGGCCATACGGACTGGGTCACATCTGTCGCAATCTCGCACGATGGCAGGCGAATTGTGTCAGGTTCGAATGACAAGACCATCCGAGTGTGGAGCGCAACTCATAGTATGCTTCTGCTTTGTGGCAGCTCTAGAAGATTCGCTGATGAATCAGATTGTCTAGCAGGCAGAACTTCACTGGAAAGTGAAATAAGGCCAGTCTCCACCATGGCCAATACATCACGGTCAATTTTGCTTCCATCCACGGGCGCGAATCTTGTGGACCTCGAGCCACACGTGTCCTCCACTTCGCCCATCCGTGGTTGTTTCTCATACAAGGTGATAGAATGGCTGCGCAGACAAACAGTCCGGTTAGTTTCCAGCAGGCGTATCCGTACCAATTTAAGTCCACGTCGGCAAGCAGGCCAATTGGATACCAGGAGGCCAATCAGTACCGATTCCACTGGTCTTCGACGCCATGAGCTGAGCGAGGATATGGCTTGCACTTGCGACTTCGACAGTTTAGATCAGTGCACAAACATCGATGCCGTGGCTTTGCACAATCGCCTGATATGTTACTCGGCAAACTCGGCGTACGCTCTGAACTCTCCGGAGTCATTTTGGGGAGACTGTTCGCCTTCTCACGTTGTGCCCAATCACGACGGATGGGTTGCTGGCCCGAACGGTCGACTCTTGCTCTGGGTCCCAATTTATCTCATGGAGCTGCCACGGATATATGCACCGAGGAATTCTCTAGTGATCCCCGATAGTGCGATACAGCTAGATCTGAGTCGGTTCACACATGGAGAGGGTTGGGACAAATGTTATGATTTCGATGCCGTATAGTTATGCGCATATATAGACTGAAGACCAGCTTATGATTTAAATGGATAATGTGCAGTTGGCCCTTGTTGTGTATATCGTCGCTGTGTGCATGTATATTCTCCAACCGCTTAGCCCAAGATATCTCTGCGGCGGCAGGCCCCTCATTCGTAGCTACTCGTTTCTGACATATACTTTTTAAGACGGTGTGTACGTTCCGCTCTATTGATGCGCTGATTATTTGGAAGATGGCAGAGGTACATTGAATATCATATAGAGTTCTCGGTGTATACAAGGGATCCCAGTGGCCTTTGAGGAGGCCTATGTATCCATGCTGCATGAGCAGAACGCGGATGGCTTGCGTCGGCAAAGGGACCACCGTCACCACACACCGTATTAGTTGCATGCATCCGAACAGGAAAACAGTAAGGGGGGGGAGAAAAAAATGAGACGATTCGAACACAAAAGTGGTTGACGCCTGCCAAGGTACATGTCAAACTAGAGAAGGACATTGTTCATTCAACAAGTATGATGAATAGAATGAACGACTTTCGAGGTCACTGTAGCAAAACGTACCTACCGGTTTCATACCCTGTCATTTTGTGACACATTCGCGCATGCACGATGAAATAGTGGTGGGTCCTTCACCGCCACAGGG